GCTAATTTCGTGCAATTTGGTTTCAAGTAGAACATGAGGTTGACGGAAACCCGGGGACTGCGTCTACCTGATGAGCCCAAAAATGGACGAAACCGGTCGTGGGCTGTCGATGGATTTTCAGCAACCTTATGAGTAGTACATTACAAAGATATTATGCAAAATGTTGTAACTGTGTGTGGTAGCTAGGGCTGATTTCACGTATTCTTTCACGTTGTATAGACTAAGTACTTGAGGAGAAAGATAAGTGAACTCGATAGAGATCAACCATACTGGAGATAAGCTAGTACAGTGAAGAGCGCTGTGGTCCACATGGACACAACACACAGAGAAAGAAACGTTAGTGAAGTACTACTAAAGATAGAATGGTGGGCTGGGACCTAACCTGCCTTACAGAAGCCACGGCACCAGTGTGCTGGCTGTATTATGAAAGGCGCATCCTCTTCTTTCACTAGGGATTCGACCAAACACAGAGAGAGGCGTACTCGTGACAACTAAACTGGGTTTTGTTAGGACCCATGCGTTCCTGGCGCCTCACCCCAATTTTGAACTCAGAGAGCCTCGTGTGATCGGTGATTTGAACATATTGGAGAAGCCTACTGATTTATTTTTAATCGCTTGCTCAGCTCCCGAAGGTGACATCAAAGATTTTCTTTTTCCAAAGCGTTTATTCGAGAGCGTCCTGCAACGCTTGGTACCCGACGTCTTGAACGGCGCATGAAAGTGAGGGACTGGAGGGACCGAACCTTTTCCAAAANGTTTTTATGCCAAAACGCCTAGTGACGTGGAGGTGGGCGTTGAACGATTTTACGAGGCTGTTTTCCTCCAACCGACCAGCTATTTGACACAAGTCAATCATAGTGGTGAAGGCTGAGGGGACCGGCTGGTTTTGTGCAGACTTCTTCACCAGATTACGTGCTACACTGAATAACCATCACCACTTGCCTCTATCAGATGACCCGTTTGATAGGGTAATTGGGGGCAAATGTTTTAAGAGGATTGAATCGGCCGAGATTCGCCTGAAGAATGCAGACGAAGAGAAATAGCTGGAAGGTTCAAACATCAGTGAGCACTACGGTCTGTTCCTGTGCGTCCGAGTGTAGTTTTGTGTCAAGACAGTGCCAGCTAGACTCAACGGATCACGGATGTGATGCTGAAGGATACACACGGTGTTTCCGCCTGTTTGGACGATTTTGTTGCAATGGTTCTAATTCCGACGAACTGTTGTGCGCCTTGATTACGTGCTTCATTGTATTCCAGAGGATGACTTCAGAGTACGACGAGGAAAAGACCCCGCATGTAGCCGATTAGGCACTTTTGGTCCATTGTCGTCGAGCACAGGCGCTAATCAAACCCACAGAACATCGATGTCATTAAGGGCATTTCAGCACCTACGGACGTGAAATCCTTCATGCCCTTCCTCGGGATCCTCGGTGACTACAGCTAGTTTCTGTCTGCCGTGTAAGACTTAACCAGCTACCCACCGAGGACGTCGAAGAAATTTAGTGTTTGATAAGTTTTGGAGCACTACCCGGGTTTGGTGGGAATACCGGATCAGCAAAGCTCCGCACGCCAGTCGACTGACTTCCCCGAAGGGACCTTTTAGCATAATCACATGAAGGGCGGAAACGAGCCAGAGGAGTCAAGCAGTGACTTGCTAGCAAAGTGTGAAAGCCTTTACCAGTAAACTGACTTGCGCTGGTTATTGCCGTCTTCCTAGCTGGGAACCCCGAAGCAGGACACGTCAGTGGTTAGAGGTATTGACAAACATGGCTCACCCGAACTCTTAATAGAGCTCGTGTGTATAAGCCATTGCTTTTAATGAGACATATACAGATGATCCTATATTTACGTGTCAGCTATATCAGCCAGCTTGTCAACTTGTCAGCTGCTTAACTTTTCCTACTCAACACCATGTAGTAGGTGTGAGAGACAAAATGGTCATTTGAACCACGGTCCTATCTGTTTGTACACCATTATCAAGTATCTGAACAGATATGGCCATCTAAGGCTTGCACACAGCATCATAAGTTGTTCTGCGTGAACCTCATGAAGCATTTTTGCGATGATGATAATAATGGGCTACAGCTTGTCATGGTGAGGAAGATGACAACGCGCCTTTGATTGTGTCAAGTTTATGCTAAGCTCCGATTCAGTTCTCGCATGCTCCGATTCGACACTGGAATTTGTGACACTGAATGATTAAAAAAGCGTAGCTTGTGTGATGACTTCGATTGTATTACTATACAGCGACCAGAGAGCCATTACACATGCGGCCAGATCCCTGACACAAGCCAAGCCTGTTTACAGACAGATGGAAAAGGGAGCTTTGACGGCAGTGCTTATTATCAGGTCTTCCATAAAATGCTCTAAAGCCGTCTGCTTGCCGATCCAAAGCCGATCCTCGATTTCTTCGCCAACCTTCTACACCGATGTGCCACTTTGCTTCTTCGATACGGTAATACACAATCGTGTACCAGTTAACAACCCCAGATGGGCCGACACATTATCGCAATCCGAGTGGGGCACAACCAGAGGACACCATGGAAGTAACGATCACCTTGGAGTCGGAGGTTGGCAACCTCCCAGTAACGGCTGGCACGGTTCGCAAGGCTACCGATCGACACCTTGTGCTGCAGCAGGTCATCAACCTTCACTATAGTCAATGGCCGCACGAGGTCCCCGCAGGGGAGACTGAGATCATTTTTAGCCGACGTGAGGCACTATCAATAATCGACAAATTCCTTTCATTTTCATTTGTGTCGCTCCACAGGAGCTGCAGGCGGCTGTGCTGGCACCCAGGAACGAACAGACCGAAGACCCTTGGACTCTTTGATTGGGTCGGTCTCCAAATAACGCCTCGCACTGAGGTGTGGCGATCAAGCCATCTGTGGAGACATATATGGTTGTGGCAGCAGCACGCCGAAAGATGGTATCGATTTCACATAGACTGCATGTTCAGTCGGTAGTCAACACTTTTTTCGTGGTTAATGCCGCAAATTCTTCCAGTACACAGTTCCACAACTCTAGAACTCCGACGATAGTTTGGTCACATTGGAATTCCACAACCTCCTGTGTTTGACAACGCTAGTCAGTTCAGTTTATTGATGTTGGAGGAGTTCTGTCTAAACCGAGCAAAACTAGTGTTACGGTTATTACAGAGAGTCCTTGGAACAGCATCTCTTCTTCTAGAAACCAAAAACCGTGCTCTTCATGATTTAACAGCATCTTTCTTCTAGAAACCAAAAACCGTGCTCTTCATGATTTAAAATTTGCCGGAGACTGAAGAGTATTAGGCACTATGGCGGTGGCTCTGCGGAAAAATGTGACCCCATAAATTCTTGACTGTCTTTTAAGCACCGTTATCCAACCTCCGTAGACGCGTGTATGATTCTGATTTGATGAGCCCAAAGGCCGCAGGGTGACTACATTAGAATAATTGTCCGGTGTGGATAATGAAAAGAACGCAGAACGGTTCCAAGTTTAATCGGGGAATCGGTCTCGGAAACAGGAAATAATCGGTAGATTTATTGCTGAGCAATGTTTCGTTTTTGACACAGGTACTTCGTGAGGCCAAGTGATCGTGTTACGAGGTTGGTCAAGATCTAAGTTCAAAGGATAACCAATCAGTTAGGCCAAGCTAAACCTGTGTTATGTATCGGTCAGTGGGCTTTGTATGTTAGGGTGGAACACCAAGTGTTAAGCCGATGGGAAAACCTACGTGTTTGGGTCCAGCTGAAAGTCTGATTAACGTACTGATCCCTCTTGAACGTAGTTTGCACCTTTTGTCAATCTTTGTGGATGAACTGGTGCTCGCATGAGTCTGTAACCAGAAGCCCTCTTCTTTCGTGTACTTCGATTTGGATGCAGATTCGGTGTCACAACAACCCCTCGATGCCACTTTCCTCATCAGGTGTCTATTCCGTTTGACGAAGAATGGAGTGCGGCAATAAGCAAGATACAAACGGGGAAGACTGAGGGTCCAACGTTGTGAATCGCTGAAATCATCGGTGTACGAAACTGCCAGCCATAACCACCCTAAGGCAGCTACATGGTGTACGAAACAGCCATAACCACCCTAAGGCAGCTACATGGTATGCGCAGATGAAGATGATCGCGATGATGATAATAATGGACTGACGCGCGCGCGGGTCAGAAAGATGACAACGCGCCTTTGATTCTGTCAAGTTTATGCTGAGCTCCGATTCAGTTCTCGCATGCTCCGATTTGTCACTTGAATTTGTGACACTGAATGATTCAATGTGCGTAGCTGGTGTGTTGAATTTGATTGTATTACTATACAGCGATCAGAGAGCCATTACACATGCGGCCAGATCCCTGACACAAGTCAAGCCTGTTTACAGTCAGATGGAAAAGGGAGCTTTGACGGCAGTGCTTATTGTCAGGCGGTCCATAAAAGGTTCTAAAGCCGTCAGCTTACCGAACCAAAGCCGATCCTTGATTTGTTCGCCAACCTTCATCGATGTGCCACTTTGCTTCTTCGACACGGTAATACACAATCATGTACCAGTTAACAGCCCCAGATGGGCTGACACATTGTCGCAATCCGAGTAGGGCACA